GCCTTAGACTTATTGGCTCACTTGTGGCTATTGGGATTGGATTGTGAATTAAGCCTAAACAATTGCATGCCATTTATCTAGTATAGTAAAGGAATTAATGGATCAAGTCCTTAATGGACTAATTGAGAAAATCCTAATATTTGAGAATTTATTAGGACACGTACGAGACTTATTTAATAAGTGAAATATTAGATAAAAATCATTGTCAGAAATTAATCTAAGCAATAATGGACTTAATGGATTAAGTCCTTAATGGATTAAGTCCTTAGTGGGTTAAGCCCTTAATGGGTTAAGTAAGAAACACTTAACCCTAATTATCATTTTATGTGAAACCCTAATTTCACTTGGGCTTGGTGTTGGGCCATACAAGAATAATCAAATGGACTAAAGTAATTAGTTGGGCTTTAGGGTAAGGCTCATATGAAGGATTGGGCCTAATTTGGAAAATTGGGCCATAGATGGGCCATAGTTGGGCCTAGATGGTTGTATGATATTGGGCCCTTAGAATGAGACATGTTGGACTGGACTGGACAATTGGGCCTTAAGGGAAGTCCATGTAGAGGTTTGGGCCCAATTTGGAAAATTGGGCCATATGTTGGGCTTTGATCCCTAGTTGACTTTGGGCCTATGGATTGGGCCTTGGGCTTGGGTAAGCCAAGCTAGGGGTAATGTAGTAATTACCCAAAGTATGTATTTATAGTTATGTGTTAGAACCAAATTATTAATTGGGTGTTATTTAGGTGTTGACAGTTCGGGAATCTATCATCCAACAACTAAGGTTGAGTCTGCAGGACTTTAATAGTATGAGATTGTGTCTACGGGACGTCAACAGTGTGAGGTAAGTTTCCTTCAGGTAGGAATGGATCTACGGCCACAATGTCGGCCCGTTTAGTTAGCAGTAGTTCCGGACCTCGGTCCGATCCAGTAGTTAGATTGCTTGATGTCTTTGTGATTCAAGCATGTTTTGTGTTATGTGTTCCGAACTTCGGTCCGATGCAGTATGCAGTATATGTGCTTATGCTAGTTGATATGTTTATGCTATATTATGTTATGCTCAGTCAGTTTCCGGACTTAGGTCCGATGCAGGGGACAAGGTCCCAGTCAGTTCCGGATTTCGGTCTGATGCAGTTAGTTCCGGACTTCGGTCCGATGCAGAGAGCAAGGCCCTGGTTAGTTCCGGACTTCGGTCCGATGCAGTTTCCGGACTTCGGTCTGATCCAGAGGGAAAGGCCCTGGTTAGTTTCTAGACTTCAGTCCAATGCAGTTTCCGGACTTCGGTCCGATGCAGTGGGCAAGGCCCAGTAGATGTTTTATATGTTATTGTATGGTATGTGGTAGTTTGGGGGAGCCCACTAAGCTTCGTGCTTAAGGTTTTCAGTTTTGGTTTCAGGTACTCAGCTTTCAAAAGTGGAGCTCGGGAAGATTCCAGTGCACACACCATTTGTTCAACCTGGGATGTTTATACTCTGATATATTTGACAGTTGTTAAGATATTTTGAGATACATTCTTTATGATTCTTATATGACGTTTGATGAATATGGTTTTATTATTAATTTAAAACGAAATTTTCAGACTGTATTTTTGGGATGTTACAGTTGGTCCAATAAAATCCGCATCCCAAAGGCCTACCAACACGCCGTGGTAAGGGTTCACCACGCCGTGTTCAAACGGAATCACGAAAACATTTGGAAATAATTTCTTACCTAGAATCGAGTATTACTAATCTCCCCCACTTGAATCAGACTTCATCCTTGAAGTCCGCCACCCCAAATAACTCTAGGTAGTGTTTTCTCATCTCGTCC